TATGCCTGAATTATCGTACTGATTGACTGATTCAATCTTAAACTCACAGACACCAGGCGAAAAGCCCATGTATCGCAAATGTCTATGGTGTCCGAGTCAGTACAAGATTGGGGCAAAGGGCAACTGGAACCTCAAGGGTCACCGTGATGGTGACATCGGTCGCTCAGAATGTAAGGAACGTCATCAGGCGATTGCTGCTGGAGCGAACCTTCCTCCAACTTGGAAGACGAAGCAAGCTGCTCAAGCTGCTGAACAAGAAGCGAAAAAATTTCATCACGAGAAATCTTCACTCGAAAGCTTTCTGAATCTGCCCAAATTCTCGGTCGGCCTCTTCAACATGATCCTTGTTCTATGGCTCCTACGGAATTGTATTCCATGGCTCCGTATGGAGGATCCGTATCTACAGGCAGCCTTCTCCCTTTGTAATCCAAACGCTACTTTATGGTCAGCCTCTTGGTCCGCGCGCCGGGCAATGCAGTACTTCGAGGAGTTTCGTACCAAGTTGGTTCGGACTCTCCAGGTATTTATGTCTTTCAACTTACACTTTGTTGAATAATAGTTACTAACTTATAACCTCTTCATCTTGTTAACAGAATCTGGATTCGAAGTTGTGTGTCATACATGACGTATGGACCACAAAAGGAGGCAAACGAGCTTTCATCGGAGTGGCAGTTTCTTATATAGACGAAGATTGGAATTTTCATGTCACACACCTGACTCTAAAGCTGATTGCATGGAATCACTACGGCGCTTTACTAGCTCGACCAGTAGGAAAATTCCTCATCCGACATGCTCTCCATAAAAAGATAGGTCTTTTCTTTAATATTACAAATTTGAATCGAGTTTGAGTACTGATGCTGTTTACGTGCTGTTAATACATGGTGGCGCAGACAACAGACTCCGGATCCAGCAACCCGATCTTAGCCAAAGAACTGCAGACCATGTTCATGGATTGTGATGATCCGGTCTTCTGGGACTCCAATCGGAATCAAATTAGGTGCTATTGTCACAAACTTGCTTTGACCGTTAAAGCTGGGCTTGAGGTGATCGGTCTAGCAGATCATGGACGAACGAAACCCACAATTCCCTCAGGAAAACGACTTCGCCTGTTACTTCCCGATGATCATCTCCCTACCCCGAAGATTGTGATGCCTGATGGCACCATCGTCGATGAAGATGGCGAGACAGAAGATCGTGAAACTGATAGTGATGTGGACCCTCAAGAAGCTGACCGTGTTGATTCAGGTAAGGATGTAGAGGCCAGCAATGACTCTGAGGATGAAGAGAATGCACCCGACTACAAGGAACAGAAGCCAGACGCTGCACTCTTACCGCGAGCAGTCACTAAGGTAAATCTTTCTTGCATCTTACAACCGCTGAGTATTCTAATTGTACTTTTATGTTTTTGTTTAAAGGTACGAAGGATCAACAAGTTGATCACGGCTAGCGCACCACAAATCAATCACTTCAAGACTTCCGCAACTCAGCTTGGATTTGTGGGTGCAGGACTAATTGCTGCTCACGGTCAGCGATGGAATATCTGGTTTGATGCACAATCACGCTTGTGCAAAGCGAAATTAGTAAGTGACGAAGGGGCTTGGGTTATGTTGTTGTTTAACGTATTGATAACTATGTTTTCCTTGTAGGTAATCAATTTCATGATCAACGAGGACCAGGAAGGATTCTATGAAGGGATTACGATCAGTCCTGATGAATGGAAGGCTATTGAATCTTTGAATGAGGTGCTGGGTGTGAGTGTATTTATTCTTTAAATATTTTAATTTATACCGAGATATTTATTGATGCTAATCTATTTGCAAAGTATTTTCTGCAATCCTCAAAGAAAATGGAATGTGACGGGCCCACTGGGGCCTCGGTTCTCTTCCAGTATTCGGGATTGATATTGGTGCTTATCAATATCAAACAGAAGACACCTCACCCAGGATTATCAGTCATGATAGACAGCATGGTCAAACAGCTCCGTAGTTATCAAACCGAGGCCCTTCACTGTGATCCACTCGTAATGGCGACAGTTCTCAATCCAAGACTTCGACTTGAATACATGAAAAATAAGTATCCTGATTATGCTGCTCGCACAGAGGATCTATTTCGCCACACCTTTTCCCAGTATGAGCAAAACGATGCTCACTTCGCCAAAATTCCTACACCTGAGGTCACTCATGAAGATGACCAACCGTTTGATCCTCTTGACAAAACAAATGCTTTCAGCGCGGCTGCTACGCATGTTCTGACTAGTGACGAAGAAATCGATCAGTACTTTTCAGGAATGCATCCATGTGACCGTGACACTGACATATTGAAATGGTGGAGTGTAAGTGGGACAATTAATTCCTATGTGTAGTTTGATGTCTACTGTTTATGTTAGCTGACTTCATTATGTAAGCAGCTCAATCAAAAGCGATTTCCAAAAATCGCAAAGTTGGCTCGCGACTTCTTGGCTTGTGTGGGTGCTTCTGCTGCAGTTGAAAGGACTTTTTCCACTGCAGCGATTGTATGTTCAAATCGGCGAGGTGGTCTCACATCAAGATCAATCGAACGGGCCGTTGGCGTCTGTCAATGGCTCAAGCAGCGATTTATCCCAGATGGAGAGCTTGGGAAGGCGGTGGCTGCTGTGGAACAGCTTGTTGCTGGTTTGGCCAAGAAGAAAAAAATGGCGGACGTGTAGTTTTCACTATTTTGGCTCAGAATTTCTGTTATCTTTTTTTTTCTTATAAATTGGTATTTTTTTGTATTGTCTTCTTTCATTTAAGTGTTAGTCTCTTCTCACATAGCCTTTTGTGTGCTCTTACTTGTGTTTCTCAAGCTTTTTTTGGCCTCCTGGTAAATATTTTCCCCCCCCAGTTTTTGCGCCACTGCACTGCGCTGCACTGCGCTACCCACAGCGCATGGGTATAACGAAATTTTGGCCACTGCGCAAATTTACCAGCACTGCGCAGTGGCTACTGGTCCTGGTGCCCGCACAGTGCAGTTTTCACCAAAAATGCGCTGCACTGCACTGGGGTCAGGGATTGTTGATAGTGACCTTATTCAACCTTATCTAACTTTCACACACTGCACATCAGGAACTCAATTACATCATGCTTCTTGCAAACTTGTCCAAATACAATGTGGCTATTACTGAGGAAGGTGTTGAGAAATCAAAAACATGCAGCAAGAAGCAAATGAAAAAGAATCCATTGTGTGAAATATACCTCCACCACCATGACCTACCCATGAAGAATTCCTCAAAGCCTCAGATACCATGCTTTACTTGGAAAGTGACAATGCACAAGATGTGCAGAAAGGGCCGTCTGATCCTCTGTTGGACACTGCCAATTGATATGTGTTAAAGATGCAAAGCAGCAGACTCTTGCTGATATGTTTTTAAAGTTTCCTAACCAGTCTATTTTTTGTTTTATACAATCTTTGTCATAACCCATATTTTGTCTGCAAATATATAGTTATGGCTTTTGAAAGAGATTGAGGTAACCTATACTCTAGCAAAACCCATACTTTTGGGCCACATTTTTAGAACTTATTCTTAATCATTTTTCAACTTTTTTTATTGCTATTGTTTTCCTTATCTCAATTTTTCTCTCTATACACTCGTTTAAACTCTTTATGTACATTTTCTTTACACTCTTTACATCCCAACACCTTATCAACAATTTTTTTTGCTCCCTTTGGAATGATTTTTTTTGTGTTCCTATTTAGCCTGCAGCGCTGGGAAGCGCTGCGTCACAAAACTGCGCTATTTGCTGCTGTTTTATCCTCAATTTTTTTTTTGCCTTGCTGAAAGCCCCTTACTATTGCCCAGCTCAATGCAAACTACGCTGCTGAAAAAGCGGTTAGCAGCGCTGGGTAGCGCTGCAAGCCAGACTTGAAATAACTCATAACTTTGTAGTACCCCATAACCCATAAGGTTTTTGAGGGAAACCAGAGCTCATGACTCATAAGTCAGGGGACACTTGAAAAAAAAATGACCAAGGGAGGCTTGAAAAATTCTAGACATGAAGATTTACAGACAAACTCTTGATAGTGACCTTATTCAACCTTATCTAACTTTCACACACTGCACATCAGGAACTCAATTACATCATGCTTCTTGCAAACTTGTCCAAATACAATGTGGCTATTACTGAGGAAGGTGTTGAGAAATCCAAAAACATGCAACAAGAAGCAAATGAAGAAGAATCTATTGTGTGAAATATACCTCCACCACCATGACCTACCCATGAAGAATTCCTCAAAGCCTCAGATATCATGCTTTACTTGGAAAGTGACAATGCACAAGATGTGCAGAAAGGGCCGTCTGATCCTCTGTTGGACACTGCCAATTGATATGTGTTAAAGATGCAAAGCAGCAGACTCTTGCTGATATGTTTTTAAAGTTTCCTAACCAGTCTATTTTTTATTTTATACAATCTTTGTCATAACCCATATTTTGTCTGCAAATATATAGTTATGGCTTTTGAAAGAGATTGAGGTAACCTATACTCTAGCAAAACCCATACTTTTGGGCCACATTTTTTGGGTATGGGTTATGTCAGAGACGACTGTATGTGCAGCAATTAAGCCATGCTTTTGTCTAATTTGAGGTAAGTCCCTTGCCCAAGCCAAATTTACCGGGCAAGTAATGAATGTGTCTATTGTGAAAACAATGTGGAATGGAATGGAGATTAATGCAGCACAAGGCATAAAAGTGATTTATGTAATAAGTGGCACAACATGATCAGGAACATGATAAGGACATCATCAGTGACAAATGTTCAGAGCTATGGAAGTTATAGTCACCCACAGCAATGATAAATGGAATTGAACATGACACTTCTACCCGAGAAGAGAGATAAGTGAGGACCAGCATAAGAGAGAAAGGAAGAGCATGAGATGAAGTAGAGTGAAACAAAGAGGAGGCTGAGAGTCTTGAAGTTTGTGTGCACATAAGCACTAGTATGAGGAAAGATGTTGTGAATGATCTTTACCATTATCATTTACCGTTATCAATAGCATATAGGGGTATTATGACTGCTAGGACATTTGAGCAGTTTCCCTTTGGAACACTTCGGTACCAGTCCCGAGCCTGGACATTTCAGTGTACCACCCTTAACACTACACGGTGGATTTTTCACGCCCTGAACGTTTTGGCAGTAAGGTGTATTTTTCTTGGGTTTAGGATTTGGTTGATCCCCTTGTGCAACTGGTACAAGCATTGTGATGAAGCCTAGGAATACTAGGAGGAGTCTGTAATACTTTTCAGCAACCTAAGACGGCAAAACAATATAGATTAACGTCACCATTTGCACCTCATCAAATATTATTTTGTGAAACTTTTGAAAACACTGACCATCTCAAAATGTTGTGGATTTCTGGAGTTCCTAATTTGTGAGGCTGATATTTTAAGTAATAATCTTATTCTGGAGGAAGTAAAAGGAGTCCAGAGAATCAAGGAACAGGTCAGTGATTGACTGTAAGAGCAAATCAAAAGTTAAGGGAATACTTGCAAAGTTTAGGTTTTGCTAGCTTGATGAGATCCTGTGTCAACTTTCAAAGAAGTGATATCAAAAGATGTTTGAGCCTCAAACAGAGCCTTTTAAAGGCAAAAGTACACCCTTCAGAGGTGGTCAAACTCGCCTCCGAGCAGCGCACCAACTTACTTTTTTCGCAGTGTAAACATGAACAAAATTACTGATTGGTCGTGATGTGCGCAAGCTGTTGGGACCATGGGAGCTGTCATCGAGAGTTGGTAGACAAGGATCCAAGATGGTAGACTTCATTACGCAGATTCTCGACTGAGGGGCCAGATTGTAGTCCGTAGTTCGCAAAAGCCTTTCAGTCGGGGTGGTTGTCTCGAAGCACTTCTCCCTATCGATAATACGCATCGCGACAACATTAAGAAACGTTGCAATAATTTGACATCGATCATGGTAGTCAAACACCATGCGAGCTATTAGTATCATAGCTCGGTCACTATCAAACTTACCTAAGTCATTGAAGACGCCCTAACAGTTGGCCCGGGAGACATCCATTTCCCAAAAGCTCGTCTCGGAGACGGTAGTGGCGGTTCAAGATCCGTGTATGGTTTGACTCTTCCTATTTGATGATCGGAAGTCCCCCATAGACTCCAAATGACGGTTCAGAGTTTTCAGGTGCTTTACTCTACATCCCTTTCAGTGAGACTTGTGTTGTAGAGTCTCAACTTGTTGAGTAGCCCATCAAGTTCTATGTGGGTCTGACTCTGCTTATTTTCTCTCTCCCAAAGTTAGCGAAGTCCCTCGCCATGGGCCTGAGGCGCGAGGGACTTGTTAGGTTTGTCTCTCTCCCATCAAATTTGTTTGCCTTTGTGTTGCAGTTTATTCTTTTGTGCGTTTTTGTACATAATTTGCACAAAAAACTTGCACGAATTTTTGCATAGCTGGTTTGAGGACCATAAATGTAATGAACATTGACTTGTTAACAAACTTTGATGTCTCATAATCAAAATCTAAACAAAAGTCATCTGTAAAAATCATAATACAATTACCAGATTTCCTAATTTCTTGAATATATGAAAATCTTTCAAAAAAAAACTCGAGGTGTTTTTACAAAACCAAGGATGTTTTTACACAATATAAAAATTTATGTTGCGATTGGCTAAAGACTCTAGACGGCTATTGTGTTAATACCTTACTGAAACAAAACACCACAAGATATAATTGAGGCTAATTGTGTAAATTGAGCCAGAGAACAATCAAGTTCCATTGGTGTTTTTGACTCATTTCTTGTGTTCTTATTGATTATAAGCCACAATTCATGAAAAGAAAGATGGAAGATGGAAAAGGGGTGATCAAAGATTTGGTATGGGTATGTATAACGACTACAGTGCAATATCTACTGGATTGTTCCGATTTGGTTGCAAAGTATACCTTGATTAGAAAAGGGGTGATCAAAGATTTGGTATGGGTATGTATAACGACTACCGTGCAATATCTACTGGATTGTTCCGATTTGGTTGCAAAGTATACCTCATGATTATATGAGCATTTCGACTTCCTTAGAACGCAACAAAATCAAAATACAATCCAATCCATCACATGTCTCCTCACGTATTGGCTAGGAAATCTGAGTATACATAATGTACAAGTAGAAATCAAAAGAATGATATGATCATGATCAGTAAACATACTAATCTTCTGTGTTTCAATCAGTGAATTCTAACTTACTTACTATATGATAGGTTAACATACCAAATGAATTTCCTGATTTTTTTTTCTAGAGTCAAGGGTATGTATCCGTTCAGAACTTTATCTCATGATTCTCTTCCAACTTCAGTATTCTCATTAAGAAATTATTCGATGATTCCTAAATAAATTTCATCAGAAAGTAATCTAATTCCTTTGATGATAGCCACACTTTATTCTTTTGATCCTTTTTGGTTGATTTTCATGGGTCGTTGAAAGCTCTGTAGATCGTAAATTTGAACAAAAGTAAATGGGTTTGAATTCGTGAAGCATGATGGATGGTGACGGAACATAGATTCGGTTTAGATCACTTCTTCTGTTCCAAAGATCATCATCAACGTTTGTTTTTTTTGCCAAAAATAAGTCCAAAACCTAAGTGAACATCAATTTTTTGCTTGATCAAGCTCACCTGGATTACAATTTGTCTTTGTGATTCAATCTTGACCCCATGCACGCCGGATGATCAGGAATGATCAGGTTAAATTCAATTCGAATTGACATCTGATCAAACCAAACAACGAAATCATCATCTTGATCATCAAACGCACCTAATCATTCGATCTTTCGAGCCTCCATACCGTCAATTCAATCAAAATTGTCCATTTCATCATTAAACTAAAACAAGTACAACATGAACTTGAAAACAAACTACCGACTAGACATTTCAAGTAAACGAATAAAAAATCGAACACTGAACCGATTCGATTGTATTTTCCCACCCATTAAACTTAGCCACAGCAGCCAACCCAAACCCAATAGAATGCCAAGACTCATCTGATTGAGCAAGTTGAAATAACCTTTGATTAAGGTCTAAAAGAAACGGATGATCAGAGAACCAAACAGATTGATGTAAAGTAGGTTGTCTTCTTGCATGAACATTTGTCGAGACTCGATACCAAGAGGAATGATCGGATGGTAATGAAGGTGTTTGGGAGCATCGATCATAGAGAGTGGCTTCAGTCCATGTCCATGAGTTTCGGTATGTTCCATGATCTTCTGGATAAGATGACCAACCCTGAAAGTAAGAATTGGAAAAAAGATTATCAATTTTTTTTTGAATAGGTTTATAGAAATTCGTTAAGTAAAGTTGATGACCTGGTCATGTGAAACTACCTTCCATTCGATTTTCATCACTTTAGCTGTTAATGTCTTGCAAGCCCGATTGCTACTCCCATCCAAACCAACATCCCTCAAACCATTCCTCTCCTCCACCAAATCTGATGTATCTTCATGTTCAAGTTGAACCAAACGTTGAAATCCATTAAAAACATATTTCATATACTCCAAATCATTCAACAAATCCAAATCAAACAAAACCTTTTGATCTTCATGTACCAAGACAGTATGATTCAAATTAACCTCATCTTCTGTCCAATATTCAGATAATCTTAAAATCTCATAATTCAATTCGTTCGGTAAGTTTCCTTTTCTCTTTAATAATTCATTCACTATAAAGATATCGTTGGGTGTTGGTTTCCATGATGAAGATGAATTTGTTGAGGATCGGTTTGGGTTTTGGTTTGCTGAGGATTGTGAGGGTGTGGATGAGGATGAGTTTCCCATTTGTTTGTTTTGATGAATGGTTAGATTTGATGTATTGAAGAAGTCTTTCTTGATGAATTTCTTTAGAGTGTTGATAGCTTTGAGATGAGAGTTGAATTGGAATTGAATACCCGAGAAGAGAAGCTCTTTTTGGCCCCGAGAGTGATGACCCGGTCCATCATCAGGATTCAGGAGTTGTGAGATCGCAACTTATTGAGCTGTGAACTGCTGTGGACTGGGCCTGGCTCAGCAGACTCTGGCATTCGCATTTCAAAATTTAAAATTCAAATCAACTTCAACTTCCACTGCAACTTCAACTTCAAGAACACGACCAGACCAGAAACCCATTCGAAACAACAAAATGATCAAACCAAGACTCAAGGTATTATTCTTAATCATCCTAAGAGAAGTAAATCAACAGTTCATCTCATCATCCCATTCAATCCATACATCAAAAGCTGACTTGATCTTCTTATAAACTCATCTCAAGACTCAAATCATAGTGACTATCATCACTGCTTTTGCAATCCTACATCTACGTACTGCTCATTCGATTTGGTTTGGATTAGGTACCCTTCATGCAACTCTAATAGGTCAGTACTCACTCAATCCATCCATCCAAAGCACAAAAACAAAACCTGATAAAAGAAAATGACTTTCTTGAATACGTATGATTTGATTAGCAAAATTACTTAAAAGGTTTATTAGACAACCAAGACCGATAGACTCAAATAAGATCAGTTCATATGGAATGCCATCCACTCATTCATCATCGATCTCATTCTTTGGAATTTACTTATTCTTAACTTCAATCTTCTTACCATTACATTCAAGATTGATCATCTTCATTCAACCATTCGTTTCATCCCAAACGATCTTAAACTTACTAGACCAATCTGATGATCCTACCCAAATGCCTTCCAACACAAGCTTACATACTTCTCAATTCATCCGTACCTTCGTGGGGATCGGTTTCTTAATGGTTTCAGGAATCGTATGTTGGTCAAGAGTCAGATTAGGATACCATACCCCATCGCAAGTAATAGTAGGTTCATTAATCGGAACTATCTTAGCAATCACTTGGTTCACACTATGGATCGGTACCTTAACCTTTAACGAAATCCAATCTACTTCTTCATCACAAAGGAATGGGTTAATCGAATGGGGAGATCATCTCGAAAGGATTGCAGAAGATTCAACTTATTTGGTTCTAGAAGCTTGGCAAATGAGAGATGGTGGTTTGTTATGGGATTCTTTAATTAGACCTAGTTTGAATTCGATTTGTGTGACCTTTGGTTTACATCCTTGGTTCGAAAGTGGTGATCAATTAGGTGTTCATGATTATTTGAAACCTTTGAATACTAAATCTACTAGTCCTATTAGTTAGTTCAACACTTGGATTCTTTTTTGGATTGTCTCTCTTTGTGTGTGTGTGTTTTGATTTATATATCATTCATCGGTTGTGTGTTAAGTTGTCTTTTGTCGCTTTGGATTCTTTTGTTTCTTCGAATTTTTACACCGTTTTGGTTTTGTTTGTTTTATATCTTCTTTGTCATCTAATAAAGCATTCCACTATCTTCTTGGTTTCTTTTCTTTTCTTTATCAATTTAATTTTTGGTTAAAGGGAAAATGGTATACCAAGTAGACCGCACGATTGAGAGAAAGTTTCCAAGAAAACAATTTAGAAACTCATAAGCAAAAAAAAAGTCAAATGGTACCAAAAGATACCAAAAAGAAAGTGGAAGTTTCTCAAGCACCCTGGACCAACCCATGCGGCTTATCATATTCAGACTGACTCATTTCCCCACACGATGCGATCCGAGACGAACAACAAACTCCTAAACATGGAGAGACAAATCGACCCGATCAACCGAGCCAGGTGAGCCATTTACAGATGCCGGGTTACCCCAATACTGTTCTGACCACCACAAGGATGATCAATGACTGCCTTTAACCTATGTTACAACTACCCTTGCGGGAGGAAGTGGACAAAGGTACCTGGATTGCCTTGGTTCGTGATGGACATCATGTGAGATTCGAACTCAGTGCGCTTGGGATGGTTTGACCCAGTTTTATTGGGAAGTGCGAGAGATTCCTCCGATTTTGCCATTACAGCTTGAAGACTGGGTTTGGTTTTTGGAAATTTGATTCGGCATCATCTTCTCAAGCCTAATCGATTCTTTTTCACTTTTCACTCTCAAGCTTAGACTTCATCTCGTCAAACAAGATGGGTATGCCGACCTTGAAGGCTATTTGGTCTGGTACTAGTAGCTCCGATCATGATGATTGTGAGATGACATAGACAACAAAGTGGATGATAGAACCAGATTCTCTTGAGAACTCCTTGTTAAATTCTTTTCGATAAAGGCCTTCCTAATAAATGAAGCGTATTTCTCAACCCAAGTCTTTCTGCTACGTATGTATCAAGTCCAATCTTGATGGTTTATATCTAAGAAATCCTTCAAGACTCGAGATGGGCGTATAATCTAATGATCTCTTGACTCAAAGCTCGTCTCATTCTTAAATAAGCCAAAAGAAATGTAGAAGATTATTTTTGTGATAAATTGGTTTAATGAAAGAAGTCAATCCGAAGGAAAACACATCTTGCCATTGGTGACTTTGAAAAATATGGTACCTGATTAAGATCTTGTTTTTTTTTCTTTGTGAAACAATTTATTTTATACTTTCTTAAGAACCAGTTTAGCTTATACTGTGAAGGAAGCATCGATTTTGAGGTCTTTTATCCCTGAGGTTGTGGGTTTAGAAATAAAGAATTGATAAAAGATTTCAAAACACAAAAGAAGGGTTTACAAAAATAGTATGATCAGTTTAACTTTCAAAGGTAAAGTGAAGCAAGACATTAAAGATGTTCACTATGCAGTGCACAGGAATGGAACTTGAAGCTCAATGGGCCAATAAAATCAATATTTACCTGATTCAACAAACAAGTCTTGGTGATTTTCATATATCTATGGTACTCAAAACCACTAGGTTCAAGCCACCTTTTTCAAAGAATGTGAAAAACATAGATTCAAAGTTGATCTTTTTTGCAGGGGAATTCCTGGGAATTCTCTGGAACTTTTTTTTGGAGCTCTGTACGGTTCATTTTCTCCGCAAAAACAACATTTTGAAAGCAGGTTTTCAAGAAAGGTAGCACAGACCTAGTGGTTTTGAGTACCGTAATTCTTGTTTAGAAGTCAAAGTTGACTGACCAGTTTCAGTTGTACTACTTTGCGGTTTGTCATATCAGTTGTAGTGTCTATCACATTGTGGCTTAACAAGAGCTTCACTTTGAGAGTTGATTGTGATAAATGCTGAGGAATGAGATGGATTCATATAAACAAACTCTAACAAAGCCAGTTGAATTCTTGAACTTCTTCACTGAACTCACGTTCTTTCAAATCAAATATAATCATGGAAACACTTTTCACTTGTGAGACCAACATCATGTTATGACCCTACTTGTATAAGGCTTACCTGTTATATGCTTATACTGTACTGTAATGATGTACACATCACTAAAAGCATATTATATCAAGTACAAACATACCAACTTAGATACTTAACTCATAGACTTAATGTTTCTTTTATCTTTTCACTCGAAGCTCCAACAGCACTGGCTCCTTAGGGAATTAGACTGATTCTATTCTATCCTTTTGGAGTCAGGTGAGCACAGTTACATTTCTTTCTTTTATTATTTCATTTCACTATTCATATGTACATCCTTAGGGAATTAGACTGATTCTATTCTATCCTTTTGGAGTCAGACAAATAAAAATATCAGCTTACTTGGTTTCTAGAAAAATCAAGACCACTACGTGGCATTCTGAACCCTTATTCCCTCAGTGAGAACTTCCACTTCAAGTGAGGACCACGTGTCCTTTACATGTACCATCTAGACTTCTTGTGATGCATAGAGCAGGGACTCTTTTCCTTACTTAGCAATCTAACTACTTTACCAGAAGACCCTCTTTCTCTCTTGCACCTTGCCATCTCTCATCAAGTCCTAACATATTGCTGAGTCTTAAAACACTCAGGATCCAAGAGAAGAAAGAAATAGAAGAAATTAAAGCAATGAAATCATCAATCAAATTATTAAGAAGTTAAAGAAGAAAAGAAGCAAAAGGAAAGAAAAGAAGAAAGACAAACAAATCAAGTAGAAGTTCAAGAGAAGAAGATTAGTTAAATTAAAATTATCCATTGAAGTCAATTGAAACAGAACAGAAGCTAGTTTCAAATTCAAGATCTCCTGCATCATCTCATTACCCCGCATTCAAAAACCTTAAATCAATACACCAATCTCAAACCTTATTCCCTTGATAATCACCCACCACGCCAAAATTAGCACTACCAGATAGTCCTAGTAGTACAGGACCAAGTGAGAAGTTTGAAGACGTAGAAGAAGCAAGCATGGATGTGAACATAGCGGAATTGTTGAAAAGGATGAATGAGATGAACATCAAATTAGAGGAAGAAAGTAGATTAAGACAAGAGGCGGAAAGAAGATGGTTAGAGCTGAAGCAAAGTATAGAAAGAAATGACCCAAACGTACAAATGCAGGCACCAACACAGAACACAACAACTGCAACTCCAACACCTGCCCCAAAACAACCACCGATCAAGCCTCACTGCCAGCATAGATGCCTCGGGTTGCGGAATCCGAGGCATCATCGGAGGTAAAACCTCGGACAAGGTCTGTCCGAGGTTTTTGTCCGAGGTAATCTTCTGCACTGGGAATTGCCTCGGATCAAAACCTCGGACAGTTTCTGTCGGAGGTTGGTAATCCGATAATACCTCGGATTGAAAAATCCGAGGTAAATATGTTGGTGGTGCCTCCTAAGATCACAACACCCAATAAGTTTGATGGCGCCAAGGGCCAGAAAGCGGAAGTATTTGTAAACCAAATCAGTTTGTACATGCAAATGAATACAGCAAGCTTTGTAAACAAACAGGCCCAAGTTGCATTTGCCCTATCGTACATGGATGGAAGAGCGAGCTTATGGGGTCAATCATTAATGGACCAACTCTTAGATTCAGAAAAGATGTGATTAGTTACCTGGAGCAAATTCATTGAATTGTTCAAAGCAACATTTTTTGATACTGACAGAATTGCCAAAGCCGAGAGAGAAATAAGAGCCTTACATCAAACTCAATCAGTTGCAGATTATTGGATAAAATTTTTGGAATTGTCCTTAATTGTTAAATGGCTGGATTCAGTATTAGTTTCACAATTCAAACAAGGCTTGAAAGGGGAAATCAGGGTTCATATGGTCAGAGATGTATTTGAAGAAGTGGAAGAAATGGCAAAACTTGCTATCAAAATAGACAACAAAGTCAACAAACGGAGTCATGAATCAACTCACACAGGAAACAAGAGACAATTTTCCCGCAGGAAGACCAATTACACATAATGTAGTTTCTGAGCCATAATGTACAAATAACACAGATATAACACCAAAATAATACATTTTGGCTCATTATAAACTGAGTCAGATACAATTGGTTTTCCCGCGGGAAAATTGTCCCTTGTTTCCTGTGTCACCATACAAAAATCACAACAGCGGCAACCACAACAACAACCACCAATCCCGACGTGATGGATTGCTCAGCATACCAATTGAACATCACTAATGACAAGTACAAGAAAAGAGGAATGTTAGGAGCATGTTATCAATGTGGTAAAAGCAATCATTACATAGGAGACTGTCCTGATAGAAAGAGAAGGAGCAATAGAGGTGGTTGGAGGGGAAGAAGTAGAGGAGGATTTAGATCAAAGTTTGCTGAGGTTGATAGTGTAAAGGATGAATTGAAGAGTGAAGGAAGGTCTGAAGAATCAAAAAATGGAGATGCTTGGGAGTGAAGGTTGTGCCTCCCCCGAGCGGTAGTGATTTATCATCAGAAAATAGTATAATTAATGCACTTGAAATAAAAGATACAAGAATTATTGAAAGCATTACCATTTTCAATGTTAAAAGTGCCACAACCATAAACGCGAGAGCCCTGATCAACAGCGGAGCTACTCATGAAGCTATAAGTGTGAGGGCTAGGTGCTCTTTGTGGGAGTACTCAGTGCTCACTAAATGGTAAATGGTAGGTTTCTTAATCTTAACTTCTTTATTTCAAATATGTAGTAGGTACAATTTGAAGTGAAGAAGGAAAAAGAAAGGAAAAAAAAGGACAGTCTGTTTGGACAAACCCAGACAGACTTCAGTTAATTGACTCCTGAAGAGGAGATTCAGTTATTTATAATAAAATATTATTATCATAAATGAAGGTTGGATCCTGGACCTTCCTTTAATCTTTATTGTAACAGATCAAAGAGTGAGTTAGTTCACCAATCTGGTTGTCCTTAAAGTCACCAACTTGGGGTTATTCTTAAGGTCAACAGCCTGAAGTTCTTCTTAAGGTTACTAGCCTGGAGTTGTTGGAGGTCACTAGCCTTGATTGGGTTTCTACTTAGGGGAAGTAGAGGATCCAGAGGGGAATGAAGAATTGTATTACCTACTTTTAATCAGGAGCTGATTAAAGTTGATGAAGCTTATCACTAGTCTTATTTGTATAAGACTCTTGATATTTACTTCAGTTGAACTTTAATTGTTCTTCAAAAGTAGTGGGTAATAATTGCTTAGGGGAATCTCTGAAGGCTGAGAGAGGAGGGGTTTATATACTCTCCTCTCCAAACCTAACTGTAGTGATATTTGTTATTATCACTACATTGGTTCAGGGTTAGTTATTGACATGTAGTAATGATTGTTACTAGTAATGCTTAATTACATAGACATCTTATGTGTGGTATGTAATATAAGCATTTAACTCTTGACACTGAGTTATGAGGTGTAAATGGTGTTTCGTTACATATTACATGTAGTTTTACAGGTTCATGTATATGTAATAAAGGTTTTGATACATTGTATTACATGTTACATACAGTCTATGCTCAGTATTTAACATGTAGTTAATCTTATACATAAGTTTTTTACTGTTACAGGTTAGTTTTGGGTACATGTATATGTACTCAGGGCTGACAATAAGTAAGACCTTCGTAGTGAAAAATCAACTTCAAACCGAGCCTTTAACTCAAGTCAGAAGTGTTACAGGCTTCAGTGGACATGAATCCAAAATCACACACACTGGTGACTTTCATGTGAACTCCTGTGATACACCACCAACTACCTTCATTGTAACCGACCTAAGAGACAAGTATGACATCATTTTAGGCATGCCATGGATCAAGAAGAATTATCAATTGATTGAATGGAAGAATAGCAAATTCAAGAATGAAGAACTTACCATTGCGGCTGCGGATTCAGTGTTGTTGAAACCAAAACAAGCCTTGAGAAGTCCTGAGGAACTGCCAAAGAGGCACACTAGGAATTTTGACGAGGGGGTGGAGTCTACAGGCTCATTCACACCCCCGCAATGTGAGTTCGATTTAACTTTATCAACCAGTATTGAAGAAGCAGCTGGCAAGCCAGCACACCTTCTAGAAAATGTACCAGAAATTGAGTCGATAAACAAAGAAGAAACTGCAGCTGTCATAACCACAGCTTTGTCCAAGCCAACAACCACCTCAAAGACCCAACCTGGAGTGAAGCCTGAGAAGTATACTAGGCAAAGTGACAAGGGGTTAAGTCCAGCAATGACTTGTTAAAACCCCCGCAGAGTACGTGTACACCTTTAATTTCCAAAAGTCGTAAAGAACAAGTGAACAAGCATCCTCATTCCATATTACAGATGAACTCCAAGAAACTGCGCAAGAGCTTACCACAATCAAACATCATTCTGGATCAAATTCAACAATCCCAGAGACCAAGCCCAACAATGATACATGCACTCAAGACCTTGTGGAATCCCTCAGCAAAGATTGCCGCAGATAAAGCTAAAGAAACTCCGCCAAAATTAGCAAAGGAACTTGCGCCTGAATGCTATCATGAGTATTTACATATGTTTGAAAAGGCAAATTCAGATGTATTACCTCCTCACAGACCATACGACTTCCGGGTAGACCTTGTTCCAGGAGCAACTCCTCAGGCCGGACGAGTAATTCCCCTATCGCCAGAAGGAAGAAAAGTCTTAAATGAAATGATAGCTAAGGGTTTGGCAAATGGCACTATAAGACACACCACATCTCCCTGGGCGGCCCCAGTTCTATTCACCGGAAAAAAGGACAGCAATTTAAGACCTTGCTTTGATTATAGGAAGCTGAATGCTGTGACTTTTAACACTGCACCAAATTGCAAATTTACCGTGGAGTTTAGACAATTGAGTAGACATAGAAAATTATAGAGAAGCTGGCAAGGGTCAGAAAAATATGAAAAAATAATGGGAGGGCCCATTGATGCATTCCAATTGTCTGGCATATTTTTTCATATTTTTAAAACCGCAATGCATATAACACTACACAAAATATAATATCTTCTGGGCAGAAAATATAAAAACCAACAAACAGTGATATTGAGCAGTCTTGGAGAGAGACAAAAATACACAAAAATATGCATATTGTTCCTATGGCTGAGACCTTGGATTTGAGTATTTTTTTGTATTTTTAGTGTGCAGATTGTTGATTGTACTAACAAAAAACCTCCAAGTTTCTCAGATTACAACCTGTAACACGGATTGGAATTTGGCCAAGGGGTGACAAGGGGATATCTGGAATTCTATATCCCTCATATCTTTTGAAATTCTGGGTCAAAACACTTGATAGTAAGCTGATTAGGAAGCCATGAAATGCATTTGAATGTTATGTTTAATAGGGGTTCTCAAAGTAGACCCGGTTTGTAAAAACCCGGTTGACCCAGTTGACTTTTTGGCTGTGATCTGTCAAAAAATGTCAACTCAATACACAAGGTTACTGCCAAAAAGCAACCGGGTCAACTGGGTTTTCTTGAAACCGGGCCAACTTTGAGAACCCCTAATGCATCAAATCTGTAGCTCCGCTACAAAAAAACCTATTTGTCTTTGAAACAAGCTCCTATATAGCCACATAGATATTCTTTGGGATTAGATGCAGGTTTTTTGTCTCAATGAAAGATATAGTCACAGAGTTTGGCTTTCCAATGAACAAAAAATCAAGTGGTTGGACCAAGAATTGACAAAGATATAAGGGATTGTTGAATTCAAATTATGCCCTCCAATGTCTGTTACAGGCTGTAATCTAACAATCCTGGAGGTTTTTGGTTAGTACAATCAACAATTCTCACACTGAAAATAAAAAAAAAATACTCAAATCCAAGGTCTCAGCCATAGTAACAATATGCATATTTTTGTGTATTTTTGTCTCTCTTCAAGACCGCTCAATATCACTGTTTGTTGGTTTTTATATTTTCTGCCCAGAAGATATTATATTTTGTGTAGTATTATATGCATTGTGGTTTTAAAAATATGAAAAAATATGCCAGACAATCGGAATGCATCAAAGGGCCCTCCCATTATTTTTTCATATTTTTCTGACCCTTGCCAGCTTCTCTATAATTTGCTATGTCTACTCAATTTTCTAAACTCCACAGTAAATTTGCAATTTGGCGTAGCACTACGCCAATTCAATAATATACCATGGAGTTTAGAAAAGTCAAGATGTAGAAAATTCTCAGCAATGCATGAGAGGTATGAAAAATTCAAAGAAAATATAGTTGAATCAGTCTTTGATTTCCCATCATGTTGCATATTTCTTCATATTTTTACCTTGAGTTTTGAAGATGTTACATAGAAAAATGATTTTGGGGTGTATTTGGTCAGAAACTCAAATTTTGGCCAAAACTACCCAGGCTTGGGCAGAAACGTTTCAACAATCCCAAATACAACAATTTTCTTTCAATCAAACTGGCAGTTGCACATTATCAAAGCCACATACTTGATCTACAGTTTCCATTTGGATGCTAAAACCCTTGCAGGACAGATTTATAAGGTTTTCTAGCTTTGCTGTTGGGGACATTGAGTGCTGTACCTTCTTCATTTTTGGATACACACCACTCATTCTAATGTGTATCTGGTAAATTAAACATGCAGCTTTCAGAATGTGCAGACATTCCAGATTTTGACACAAAATTGACAATTTGATTGGTCTCACAAGGTTAATGCCTCCATGAATGCCAGTTTTGGACATAAACTGAGTTTCTGACCTGATATACACTTCTGCCTTAAAAATCTTTAAAAATTTGCAAAATGATGGGCACACACAGAGGAATGCAACCCTTATTTTTCCATATTTTTTTGACCCCTTCTGCCTTGTGTATAATTTTCTATGTCTTTTTAATTTTCTAAACTCAGCGGTAAATTTGCAATCTGGCGTAGTGCTACACCAAATCAAAAATTTACCATGGAGTTTAGAAAAGTCAAAATGAAGAAAATTCTGAGCAATGCTTAAGGGGTTGGAAAAAATTGGAAAATTATGGTTGAATCCACCTGTGATGTCTCTTTCTTTTGCATACCTTTTCATATTTTTACCTTTAGTATTGAAGATGTTTCAAAGAAAAATGATGTTGGGGTATATTTGGTCAGAAACCCAAATTATGACCAAAACTACCAAGGTTTGGGCAGAAATGTTTGAATATTCACAAAGACACCAATTTTTTCCAATCAATTTGGTAGTCGCAAATCATGAAAGCCGCACCCTGGATCTACAATTCTCATTTAGATGCTAAAACCATTGCGGCAAAGATTTATAAGCTTTTCTTGCTTTGCTGATGGGGACTGTGATTGCTGTACCTTAGTCATTTTTAGAAACATACCGCCCATTCCAATGTGTACATTGTAAATCAAACATTCAGCATTCAGAATGCAAAGAAATTACATATGGTGAACCAAAATGGACAATTTTATTTGTCTCACAAGATTAAAGACTAAATAAGTGCCAGTTTTGGAAAAAAGCTGGGTTTCTGACCTGATATACACTGCTGCCATAAAAAAATGAAAAAGTATGCAAAATGATAGGCACATGCAGGGGTATGCAGTCCTTATTTTTTCATATTTTTCTGACCCCTTCTGCCGTGTGTATAATTTTCTATGTTCTTGCTGAAAGGTCTGCTCAAGATTCAACTGAATCTTGAGACCATTTCATCTTTGAGAGCTTTAGAAAATTATACTCCCTTGTGGCTTGTCTGGGTGCCAATCCATTTTATGCACTTGCACAAATGTGTTGCGCCTTGGGGAAAAAAATATGTGTTCTTAAGATGTAGTAAAACAGAATCTATCCCCTGAATTCCCATCAAAAGAAAAACAAAATGCTTTTTCAACCTATATTTGCTTGCCAATGTCACAATGAAAATTCTGTTGTTCTACAAGCAATCTCATACCCCACATGTTGTGGCAGGAAAATCAAATAGAAGTTAATTCTTTTTGGTTGGATTTGCACACACACCACAGGGGTTCCTGGCACGATCTACTTTACAAACGGAACAGTAATAGTCCAGCTCTGAGTCCTCTGAACGACCAGAGCCTACATCATCCCCACCATGTGTGACAAAACAATCTCCAACTGCTGCAGCTACATTTTCACTTGCCAAATCTTCCATGGGTGTACCAAGGACTTGATTGAATGATACAGAGATCATGAGCACAACTGCAACAATGCTGAGATTCATGATGAAAAATCTGATGTGTTGACCAAGCGTTAGCTATGGAAAGCCATGAAGAAGTTCATAGATAAAATATGTCAAGACTCACCAGAAAGATATATCAATAGGTTTTGAAAAATTGTGTGGGTTGCCTGCTGATGTAGACCAATAGTATCTATATCAATCAAATGTGTAAAGATTATAACCCATATAAGCTCAATATGTCTAAAAGATATCTCTACATATCAAAAGTAGCCGGGTAGCGGACAAAAAGCACAGGGAAACATACCAAAGACAATTGTGCCCGGTAAACAAACAAATCAATGAGATGCTTGGATAGTGAGCAAGTTATCAGCAAATCAGGCACCCTTTTATATCCATTGAATACTGGCTATTCAGCTGTTTTTATGACCCTTCCCTGGCATCGAGTCATGGAACACAATGCTGTGTTCACTCACATTCCCTTCCGCACAGCTAAAGTGAACATTGACAAGCTCTGTGTTGTGGAGAAGATAGTCGCAGCCTCATGATGCCCCTTTAAACTTCTTTCTCCACTTGTATTACACAAATCAGTGTTTTGGAATTCATTTGCTTTGTGTAATAAGATGCATGATTCCCAGTGAAGTGTCACAGTGAAGCTATCACCATCAACAGTGACAAGTACCAGGTCTTGAATTCAATTTGCGAGTACTTAAACAGTAGGAGGTCTAGAACACAAGTCTGTTTCAATGTTGTATGGGTAACACCCCCCCTGCGCAAACTCTGTAGCACAGATAAGTGTATAAATTTTGAAAGACCCTCTACACTTACAGTAAAAGCAGCACAAATCTAAGATGTCACCCTGCAGTGATTTTTTTCTTCTCCGCTTGTGTCAAAAGTAGCACCAATCTATGATGTCACCCCGCAGTGATCTTTTGTTCTCCATTTGTATCAAAGGCTTCTCTGCTTGTGTCAAAAGTAGCACCAATCTATGATGTCACCCCGCAGTGATCTTTTGTTCTCCATTTGTATCAAAGGCTTCTCCGCTTGTGTCAAAAGTAGCACCAATCTATGATGTCACCCCGCAGTGATCTTTTGTTCTCCATTTGTATCAAAGGTAGCACAAATATATGATGTCACCCTGCAGTGATCTTTTCTTCTCCTCTTGTGTCTAAAGTAGCACAAATCTATGTGTCACTGTCAATAAGCACGCTTATTGAACTAGTAAGTGGAACAATAAAATGTTCAGAAAGATATGAAAGTTGATCTAACAACTTATAATCAAAAAAGAGAGTAACAAAGGCGGAAGCGCAGTGCGTGACTATTACTAACCAAAGAGGTTTTAAAGATTAATTTAAAAGGTAATTGGAGTAATATGGACACAGTGGTAGTGTTTGATTAAATTGATTGATTAAAAGATAAAGAACAAAAGAAAGTAGAAAAACAACAAGGGTTTTATACC